AATTGGACCGTCTGAAAGAAGCAATCGCCCAGAAGCGGCCAGCTTTGGCCAATAGGAGAGGAATTGTGTTCCATCAAGACAACGCCAGGCCACACACATCGATAGTGACTCGCCAGAAGCTCCGGGAGCTTGGTTGGGAGGTTTTTATGCATCCACCTTATAGTCCGGACCTGGCACCAAGTGATTACCACCTGTTCCTGTCTATGGCGAATGATTTTGCTGGTGAAAAATTCGCCTAAAGAGAAGCTTGTGAAAATCGACTGTCCCAGTTTTTTGCCAATAGGAACGAGGGTTTCTATAAGAGAGGCATAATGAAATTACCTTCAAAATGGCAACAAGTTATCGAACAAAACGGTGCATATTTGACCTAAATCGGATCATTCTAACTATGCTAAATAAAGCCTCCAATTTAATGCAAAAATAATAGATTTCTTTTTACTACACCTAATATATTATTGGAGATAATTTCTTCTAGAAATAATATTTACTGTAAGTGTTTTTTTTAAATTCGCTGCAGAGCTCTTACTTTCATGACTAAGCTTTTTACTTATACAAATTTTGCACAAAAAAACATAATTTGCTTAGATCTCCTTGAATATGAAAAGCTTCGGAATATGCCGGCCATGGCCATTTCATACGTTACTTTCTTGTCCTTTATTACAAGGTTGAGACGTATTCTCTTCTTTCTCCACTTGTTTAATTTTGGATTTGGAAGTCTAAAATTGTTATATCATTATGCATACCCAGATAGCCAGACGTGTCGGAAGCACGCACTGTAAATTTATGTTACATATTACGTTGGCAAAAATCGGGCAGCAGTCGAGCACGATCTGTCATTTCAACTAGTATTAACAAAAATACAGCAAAAATTCTAAGAACACTGCACATAACATGCTTCAAAAAATGCTAAAAAAATTTGAACAAAATATATTCGGCATAAATAGAACAAAATTCATACATCATATGTTGGCATAATATTATATATAAATAAAAAATAAACCAAAAAGCTAAATTTGGTGTAACATCATGTAAAGTTAGCAAAATGTAGTTAAAAATTTGACAAATTTGCTTTCACATTGTGAGAACGGAAATGCAGCAGGAATACTGCACGACTTATTATATCAAATACTGACATCAAAAATACAGCAAAGAGTCGAGCACAGGGTCACAATGTGACTGCCCAAAACATAGCATATGTATGTTGCGATCAGCTGTTGGAGAAACAAAAACGTAACAGAAATCGCGGAACTGTCGTCATGTATCAAAAATGTAGCAAAAAATAAAGAAATCCAGATAGCAAAATGCTAGCAGTATGTCAGCAATATGTCGGCAAATTTAGTCACAATTGTTGAACAGATTCCTGTCCACTGCGTCTTCTTTAAGGTTGATTTTTATCATCATAACTTGCTAAACATAATATAACAACAGAAATTCAGCAAAAATGGAGCATATCTTGCCATCATAATATTATGGCAGAAACATGACAAAAACAGAACATGACCTCATATCAGATACTAGTAGCAGAAACACAGCAGAAATCGTACACGATGTGCTCTTACGACATGATATCGGAACTATGGCAAAAACGAATCATGACTTGTCATATTAAACACTGGCGGCAGAAATACAGCAGAAATAGTGCACAATGTGCTTTTACGACGTGACTGACATCAGAAATATGACAAAAATAAATCATAACCTATCAATTAGATACTAGCGACAGAATTCGTACACAACGTACGACGCAATAGTACAAATATGCAAAAATAAATCAGAATAAAC